TCTTCTTTTTCCTTCATGGAACTTCAAACATTTAACTCCCTTCAAGATCAAATTTCCGCTTGAAAGAACTACACACTTCAAATGAAAACTAGACCTTTAATGTTTTCGCACAATTAATCATCATACACACAATCAATATAATGATTCTCGATGAACAAAATGAAAATGATGATTTAAAAGAGATGAAGTTGTAATTGCAAAACTTTTTCTAACTGAAAAATATTTGGTCTCCCCTATTCTGAATGAGAGTTTTCTCATCAAGTTATCAAGTTATGTAAAATATTAATGAAAGGAAAATAAAAAATATGTTTATATGTGCACGAGAAAAGGCACGAAAGTGAGTAAAAATACACTAAATGACTTTATTCAAGGTTGCAATGAATCAATTCAAAATCTAAAGGAAAAAAAAGTTGAAAAAATGACTTGATTCAACAAGATTCATGAATTGAGTCATTTTTGGTCTCTGACTTGAGTCATACAGGAGAATGACTCGATGTTGATGCGGTAAAGCGGCAAACAAAAATTAATTTTGTACCTAGTTTTATCGTCTCCACAAGGATCGGTGTGAGGGAAAGAACGTCGTTTAACGATTTCTACATTTCTAAGCTTCTTGTGAAAATTTGGTTAAAAGATTCACGTTACCATAAATAAAGGTACACAATATAAAGATGGAAAATATAAAGTAAAGACTGAAAATATAAACGGGGTTTTGTTGGGATTGGATCTCATCAATTGATAACACATGCATTCTTCTAACCAGTTAAACACAAATCAATCATTCGTCTAATATCCTTACGTATCACCCACAACAGAGGTTATGTCTAACGCGACATTGAGAGAAAAATCGTATTATCTCATTGGTGATGTCTCACACTCAACAACACAGAGCATTAAGAACTGATACTCACACAAATGCTAAGCCTAAATCTATGTCTAGAGTTTAGAACCTAACAAGTATTCATCCTAGATCCAGATCTGAAGAGTATATGTCTATAGCGGTTCAAATAAAATATAAACGGGTAAACAAATATGACATTCATATTAGCTTCATGATTGATTCATATAAAACGCCATGATCAGAATACGTACATATGCTTAATCCTTTTTACATGTATTCAACTAAATTGCCAAATATATGTGAACAAGTTTCTCATCTCTATTATCACGCATCCTCACAATACCGTATTGATCCTACCCATTCTACTCATACTACTAATCAACACAATAAAATAGAAGATACAAGTGAATATCAACTTACAAAACTATGTCAAAAGTTTGCTCATTGATAGATGAATATCTAAGATCTAAGACTGTGAAAGGGTTTTGTCAAGACCCACAAATAAGAAATAAAAAACAACATCAATATTGAATCAAAACTAGTTCACAAACATAAATTAGATGAAATACATAAGGTATCAAAAGATTACATCCAAACCCAACAAGAGATCGAAGCTACTTACTCGAAGATCAAGCTCCGATTTCCTTTAATTTTGGCTTCTCCCTCTTAGGATTTTGTTTCTCTCTCTAAAAGTATGTTTAGAATGAGGAGAGATAAAAAGATCTGAAAAATTACAATCTATTTCAAAATATCTCCCAAGGTAGCTATTTATAGAAAGTGCAAAAAGTAGCAGTAAGTGGCACCGTGCTAAGCGCCATCAGGAGCTCGCTAAGCGCAGTCAACAAAATAGAGGCACCCATAAAGCGTGCTAAGCGCGGTTAGAGGCTGCTTAGTGCGCTTAAAGATCTTGGCTACTGCCTCAACAGTGAAAACATTGGGACTACGCTAAAAAGCGCGCTAAGCGCGGTTTACCGACACGAAAGCTCTGAAAATGCTCTTATAGGCCTTCTTTCTTTCACGATAGGTTCCTAGCATTATATATCAACAAGCAGACTTGTCAAAAAGTATCAAAATGATCATAATTCACAATATTTACAATAAAATTGGAAACTTGAATATTTACACTAAAACATATGAATTTACTACTGAAACACCAAAGAAACAATTCGAAAGGGCCTCAAAATACTATCAAAAATATGCACAATTTGGCCATTAACAACTCTCCCCAACTTATTATTTTGTTTGTCCTCAAAGAAGAATCAATCAAACATAAAGAAACAAGAGCAATTATCAAGAATTATGATCAAACAAGTTTTTATTTTTTTACAAACGGAAACAAGTGTATGGTCTAATTATCAAAAGTACAAACAAAGCAATGCTTACCACTAAACTACAATGACACCATGATTACGAAACAAAGTCTAAGCACAAAACACATGTCAAAAATTCTAAAGCAATACGAATAATCAAGAATGAATCACACCTAACATTCCTCTTCAGAATAAGGATGGAGAAATTTACGCGTTTGAAACCGTAGGACAATTACACTCATCTGAAAACAATGCTAGCAACAGTCCAATTCATACATTCATCTAACAATCATAAATGAAATCATGGAAGCAAAAAAATCACTACGAGCTTGAAAGGTTGTAGCTTGGTTAGGTTTTACAACAAAGGATCATTTCTTAGACTATTGAATCGAAATTGACATGAAAAGAAACATTCACTATACATGGTATTTACACATTGCAAAAGAAACATTTACTATACATGGTATTAACATTCACAACTTCAAAATACTTTCTTTAAAATGAAGAGATTGCCAAATCTTACTAGAAGCCAATATTAGCCATAATCTCCTCAACATCAAACATTCCTCAACATCAAACATTCCTCGTTAGCAACCAATTGATCCAGACCATTAGACTCCTTCACTGCCTTAACATTATCAAAGTAATAATTTTTTTTATGCTTCAATTTTGTTTAAATTATTTTTCTAAAAACAAATTTCTTAAAAATCATTCAAACTTACGATTAATTCATATAAAACTCAAGAAATAAATATTTGTTAAAAATACAAAAAAATATTGATTAAATGAACATGAAATTATTTTGCTTTGATACAGAGTTACAAATATTTGTAATTGACTATTATAAAAAACATATGATAAATTTATCATTCATAAATTAAATAATTATAAAAAAATCAGATTCTTTGACAAAAAACAAATTCAAAATTTGAAAATTCATTTACAAATCCAGCTCAAACTTTGGCAACCCATTTGGCATCTGCCATTTGGATTGTGTGATGTCGAAGATGGTCTTCATCCACAAGCCTGAAAAGTGAAAACACTGTCACCACTTTTTGTCTTTTATAAACCTGGTTTGCATTCACATATATTACATTTTTTTTTTGTAAGACTTTTAATAATTACATGTAAGTACAAATTTAATTAAAATTATTTCAATAACAAATTTAAATTAGATGATTTACATATTTTAAATTTTATGCAGAGTTTTTTTTAGAAAGTTTATTAATTAATAATTACACTGAATTAAAAATTAAAGTTTTGTTTTTTTATTTAGGCTTAATTACAACTTTAATCCTCCTATTTTATATTTTTTTGAGTTTTAATCTTCTTATTTTAAAAATTATGTTTTTTGTCGCTTTTTTAAGTTTTGTTTTGAATTATAGTTCCCAGGTCAATTTGTAAATATTTTTTTGATGACGTGACACTTATTTTAATGATGTGTCAATATCAAATTATTATTAATTTTTTCACCTTATTATATATTAAACTTTTATTTTTCACCTCATTATTTATTAAACTTTTAATGTTAATTCATTTAAAAGTATTTCATTGATATATAAAAATAATATATATTTATATTAATTTCCAAAAACATGTTCATGTTGTTTTCATCTTCTAGTCATTTTCTTCTTCTTCTCATCTTGTTGCTCTATTCTCTTTCTCTTCTACCATTAACACCATCGGCAAAAACAAAACTATGTAAAAATACAATTAGCTTCATCTTCTGCAAATAAACCACATAAACCTCCATCATATTCAACACCACAATACAACATCACAGATCCGTCCACAACCTCACTTCCACTACACAAAACTAGCCGTTGCCGCTGCAAAAATAAACTTGCTGGAAAATGCAACATCTCCGGCCGCGATCTCACTTCCACCTTATTCTTGTTTTGATTTGTGTTTCGGTTTCGTTGGAAAATGCCATTGACATTTAGGAAGTTTCTTTTTTTTTCCCTCTTTCTATTTCGATTTGTGACATTGCAAATTTTTAAGGATAATGACTTAAGTCTCATTGAAAAACAGATTAAAACATAAAGAAACAATGACTTAAGTCTCATTGAGAAACACAATTTTTTCTAAATCTCTTCCATTTGCTTTGCAACCATTTTCTTATTTTCACTTCTTCTTAAAACTCTTTGAATGTTGGTTATGTAACAATATAAAATCAAGATCTTGAGTGGATGATAAACCAAGAAGAGATTTTGCAAAATCTGAATTTTTAGATTTTTTATGGATTTGGAAGGAAGATAATGAAAATGAAAAAATCTGAAAAGAAAAAGAAGAATATCTACTATATAAATTATCTTAAATTTCTAAATCAACTTCAATTAAATATAAAAATAAATTAAAATAGTTTCTAAATCAACTTCAATTTAATTTAAAAAACAAATCAAATTAATTTCTAAATCAACTTCAATTTAATTTAGAAAATAATTTAAATTAATTTTAATATAATATGTTTGATAAAATTAAAAAAAGAATCAAAATTTTAAATTTTGAAATAAAAGAATCAAAATTCAAAAAAAAAAAAAATAGATGATCAAAGTTGCAATTTTTATTTATTACTTTGGCTTCCACGTCAATAACTTGCAACTCGTGACACGTAAGAAAAATGTGCTTCTCAATTTATTAGCTGGCACCCATGCATTTCGTGAACTACCCAAATCCAATACGAGTAACATTTTTCCGTTTCCGAGTTGACTCAACAAAAATCCTGAGTCACAACTGAAACCCACTCGCTTTACCGGAGTTTTCATCTTCTTCAGAATCTTCACCATGACACACTGAAAAATTAATTTATTTTTATTCCGCAATTTTTTGAGTCATCGAATTGAAGAAATAAAATGATGAACCAGGATCACATTCTTCGCGCTTCCCAAGACGACGACATGGAATCGTTGGTACTCCACGACGACGGCGACCATGACTCCTCCGGCAACCTTCAACAACAGCCGAAGAGTACTGAATCGCCTTTCAATTCGTTTCTTGACCCTCCGTCTTACGCCGAAGCGATATTCACTTCGTTTGATTCCAACGGTCATGATCAAACCCTAGAACAGTCGACACGATCCGGATCCGAATCTGAATGCATGCAAATCTCGGTTTCCGATCCGCAGGAGGAGCAAGAACTCACGAACTCACTTGTTCCCGGTGGAAGCACGTATCATACTTATCTCATCACGACGAGGACAGACAAATCGGAATTCGGTGTGAGGAGAAGGTTCCGGGAGGTGGTTACACTGTCGGAGCGATTATCGGAGGCGTATCGTGGTTATGTGATTCCGGTGCGACCGGAGAAGAGTTCAGTGGAGAGGAAGGTGATGCAGAAAGAGGAGTTTGTTGAGCAGCGGAGGGTTGCTTTGGAGAAGTATCTGAGGAAGTTAGGGTCACACCCTGTGATTGGGAAGAGTGAAGAGTTGAGATTGTTTTTGGAAGCTCAGGGGAAGTTGCAGTTGGTGAGGAGCACTGACGTTGCGTCGAGGATGCTCGATGGAGCGGTGAGGCTTCCCCGGCAGCTGTTTGGTTCGGAGAGTGTGGCGGTTGACTTGAATGATGTGGCTCAACCTGCTAAAAGTGGGAGAGACTTGCTTAGGATTTTCAAAGAGTTGAAACAATCTGTTACCAATGATTGGAGTGCTGCCAAGCCATTGGTTGTGGAAGAAGATAAGGAGTTTATGGAGAAGAAGGATAAGTTGATGGAGTTTGAACAACAACTTAGCAATGTTTCTCAGCAGGTAGTGATGATATGAATGTTTTTTTGTTAGAGCTTAAAATCAAAATTAAAACCTATTAGTTTGTCTCGTTTTTGTTTTACCAAAATGGAATATGATGTTAGTATATAATTCATTATGGATCTATCTATTCTAGATAGCCCTTGTGACCTCTTAGTGCATGTTTGGTAGTTCATTCAAGAGATCTCAAGCATGATGTATTAACTCCAAATGGGTTTAAATTAGGGTTTTAAAAAAGGGTCTGCGATCGGAAAATGGGCCGCAACATTGTGGTTTATGATATCCTCACAATAACAACGTGACTACACTGTGGCCATATCAATTGCATTTTATTGCAAAATTTGAACAAATTGTTATTGGTCCGAGATACGCTATTTAGTACAATTTTTTGTCGAAAGCGGAGCTAAAGCAATGTTACATACCAGGGTTTAAAGAAACTGCTATTTTTTGCTACACAATTGACAACACTAATATCAATGATCCTGACGTGGCTATTAAAGTGATTTAGAGTTATTTGGCAGCAATTCCAACCGTCTCTGTCTATTTGAGTTTCTATACAAAACATGATACATTAGTTGGTTGATTGCATCACATTCATATTCTAATAACATTGTGTTTTATGGAGTTTTTTGTGTAAGTTATACTCGTTTTAAGAATTGCATTACCATTTTTGTTGTCTATTTGAGTTTCTTTACCGAACATGATATAGTAGTTGGTTGATGGAAAAACGTTCATGTTCTAATGCCATTGTGTTTTATGGAGTTTTTTGTTCAAATTATTCTCCTTTTTAGAATTGCATTGCCATTTTTGTCATGTGGAACTGAATGAATTGTTTCAGAATGATGTTGTTATTTTCCTTCTTTGATTGCTAGGGTTGATTTTGTTTGTTTGTTTGTTATCTGCATTGACTTGTTGCAGGCTGAATCCCTTGTCAAGTATCAGCAAGACATGGGTGAAACAATGGGTGAGCTAGGGTTGGCTTTTGTCAAACTTACTAAATTTGAGACAGAAGAAGCCGAATTCGAATCTCAGAGAGTACGAGCTGCTGACATGAAAAATGTGGCAACCGCAGCTGTCAAAGCAAGCAGGTTATATAGAGAGCTGAATACACAAACAATCAAACATCTGGTAAGTGCAAGTTTTAATTACTTATTACGATAGAACTTTTTACCACTGATATACAAATGCACGATAAAATTTGTGTTAGCTTCTGGGTATAATCGTTAACTCTTTTTCTGTTGTTGATTAGTAATATTTTATGTATGTTGCAGGATAAACTACATGAATACCTTGGGACAATGCTAGCCATCAACAATGCATTTTCCGACCGATCAAGTGCTTTGTTGACGGTTCAAACGCTCTCATCAGAACTAGCTTCTTTACATTCACGAATTGAGAAGCTCGAAGTTGCTTCATCTAGAATATTTGGCGGAGACAAGTCTAGGATGCGGAAAATTGAAGAGTTAAAAGAAGCCGTGAAAGTAACTGAAAACGCTAAAATTTGCGCAGATAGAGAGTATGAACGAATCAAGGTAACATGCACTACATTTTATGTTTCTCGGATTCTCTTCTCCCTTAGCATCTGTAACTCAGACTCCACTGTATTCTTGTAAAATTGAGCTTTCCCTTCCCCGTACATGTTAGCATATCTGTGCTTTTAGAGCTGACTTCTCTGTTTTAATTTGGCACTCATATAATTCATGTAACCATGCTTTGCCATACTTTGAAGATATTGTCTTTGTTTGCTTTCACGTGTACAGTTACATTAGCCTAGGGAGAACATTTGACACTATTACTCAATGATATAATGCAATTTTCTTTGCTTTGCCATACTTTGAAGATATTGTCTTTGTTTGCTTTCACGTGTACAGTTACATTAGCCTAGGAAGAACATTTGACACTATTACTCAATGATATAATGCAATTTTCTTTGCTTTGCCATACTTTGAAGATATTGTCTTTGTTTGCTTTCACGTGTACAGTTACATTAGCCTAGGGAGAACATTTGACACTATTACTCAATGATATAATGCAATTTTCTTTGCTTTATAGAGAAGTTTCGCGTAGAAAGAAAAACAAAACTAAACAAGTGTCAAAACCGTATTCTGATGCATTTGTAAATGTTTTGTTGAGTGTTGCATAGAGTGCATGCTTCCATTAAAGTCACCAATTAATAGCTGATTTGGTTGCATATCCAAACTTAATTTCTAAATCTTTTGCCATCTTCATATGTAAAATCCAATGTTTTTAAAACCAGATTGATCATTGAATTTTATTTCCATATTTTGACGCACTTGTAAATGTTTCATGGTAGATTATGTCACTGATCGAAAATTGAATTATAAATCTATTTCCATCTCAATATGTAATCCAATAGTTTAAAAACCAGATTGATAATTTAATTAGTAAAGACAAAAGTTTGCAATTCACTAATCCAACCGTACAAGCATACAACATAAGTTAGCGAGTGGAATATCCAAGTTTACAACAAATATAAAAGCCAGGGATAACTATCATGTTGCTTAGTCTTTCCAAGTCCCACACAAGTTAGAGAGTGGTGGCATAAAACATATATGATACATAAAAGGAGTCTATACCTGAAAATTCCCCATGAGATAGCGAGTATAGTGTTACCAACCCAAGATTTGAATTGAATAGAAAGAAAACTTTATTTGAGAAATATGATGGAATAGGAGAGAATCTCTCCTCCAAGGGTTTTCCCTAATACTTTATTCGCAATTACAATATCCAAAGATGATTTTTATCCATTGTATTCTCCTATTTATACATAATGTGTCTAACTACCCTAATTAACTCATCCTATATTGTTACTAACTCCTCATATCCTAACAAACTCCATTCTTATCTCATATCCTATTGAACTCCTCATTACCTTATATCCTAACATGGAGTATCCAAGGTTATATCATCCAAAAAAGTGAGAGACAAGCCATCTGACTATCTCATATCCATGGTGGCAAATTCTTGAGTTAACTCATAGAATTGCAAGAGTTTAGAGATAACTTAACTCACATATAAAACTGGTAAAAGTTGGGACGTCAGATGCACATATAAGTGCTACAATCAGATTAACTTTTTGTGCATTGCAAAGCCATGCCATTTTAGGAATCTGGTTGAAAATAACCATCATGTTGCAAACTTGGCATTCTATTCAAGTCTATAGGAGTCTACTGGAGTTTGGCATGGTTGGCATGGCTTTTTGCAATGCACAAAAAGTTAATCTGATTGTAGCACTTATATATGCATCTGACGTCCCAACTTTTACCCACCTATATAGAAAGTAAATGACGTGTGTATTGAGTTGAGTTTCAATCCCATTGCTCCCAACATAAATGAAGTCTCAACGCTCAAACTATAGAAAACAAAGACAGAACCAACATTGCAAGTCTGGAAAGTGTGCAAAGAACCCGGTAGATCAAAGAGGTTAATGAACCCAGCTGCTGATTTGAATGGCAATGAGGGGAACCCAGTCCACCATCTTTCACCCTTAAGTAGTTTGAACCTCATGATTCTGCCCATCAATTTTGAATAGTGATGCCTAGTCGGGCCATGATTTGGTTCTCTCTCTATTGTCTGTTATTTGAATTCATGCCCATTTCAAATCTACATTTCTAGTAAAAGAAGCAGGAACCAATGCCCTGAAATCTTTCTTCAAATATTATGTCGATAATAACATGCAAATGTGGATACTTTGCAGGAAAATAATAGGAGTGAGCTTGAAAGAATTGACCAGGAAAGGCAAAGTGACTTTCAAAGCATGCTGCGAGGGTTTGTTGTCAATCAGGTAACTCTCGTTTATCTTATCTCAGTAAGCTGTTTTATGAGATTGCTTGGCTATTTGTGATTCAGAACTCTACAATATGCATTTTACAGGCAGGCTATGCTGAGAAGATGGCTGCTGTGTGGGAGAAGCTTGCGGAAGAAACGGCTATGTACTCGAGAGACAACAGTTAAAATGTGTACTCGGCTGCAAATTTTGTTTTCATTAAGCTACTTTCTAGATCTTGTTAGTTTATGCTTATGTAGTAACTAGATTTGTACATGCAGCGTATATTATTGTGTAATGACGGACAGTATTCCAACTTAGAAAAATGCCTTGATTACTACTAATCGTGGTCCCCACAATCCTTGTTAATATAGTTTCTATCACGGCAAACCATTACAATCCTCCTTTTTCCATATTAATGATTATACTTATTAATCCATTAGTTATTACAATTTGAAATTTTTTGAATTTTTTCATGTAATAAATCGATGGTATTTTAATCCACATGTATGTATAGAAATGAGATTTGGTCTTCTGAATAATAGTCATGGTTTCAGCATGAGGAGTTATGGGGTGTCATTAGTGTTGTCAAATTGAGCCAGCAGAAAATCAACACAGTGCATTTTGGTTTAATGGTGAAGATTTAGGTTTTGAGAGTATTTCTTTCAGAATTTTTGGTTTGAATCCTGCTAGAAGCAAATAGTAGGACTTCCGTAAGTGGACAGTGGGATCTGTAAGTGGACGATAGGATCCTCTTGGATTAGTCGGGATAGTTGTTTGCAAGATCACATGCCACAATTGAAGATGGGATCCTCTTGGATTAGTTGTTTGCAAGGTTAAATATTAAGATTAAAAAGAAAAAACAGCTCTAATTGGATCAGTTGTTTGTAATTTTAAATATTAAAATTAAAAATTAAAAAAACCAGCTCTAATGGAAGATTTATGGTGTTGCGGATTGTGCATTCCAAAACGCCATAGCGGCACCACGAGCTTAATGTCAAAATATGTGAAGAATCTGAAGATTCTTGTTCAGGTATTTTTTGTTGTGTTCCCGCAAACATTTTCAAAAGAATTATAAGTGTGATTAACTATTAAGAATTACTTTGATTAAATAGTTATAAAACTAAAACCGGTCAGCAACTTATCTTCTCCACATATTTTTTTCTCTCTCTCCAGATATTATTTTCTTCGTCAAAGTCATCTTCTCTTCACGTAATTTTTGTCATGTACTCTTTAGGAATCTTGTTTTTCATTTCTTTATTTGTTTTTGTCATATGATCAAAACAAAGACTTTACTTTGCAAGAACAAAACATAGCTTTTAATTAGTTTAGTTTAAGAATCAAACAACATTTTCTTTTAAAGATATTACGTAAGAGAGTAACTTTTTGAAATTTTCATAATCCCAAAATAATAAAAGTCTTGGTGATATTTTTCACTGTCAACAATTTTGTGAAGAAAAAGAAAGAAATAAAATGGAGAGAGTAGAAAGTAAAAAAGTTTGACACAAAGGAATAAAAATCTAATAGACCTTTTAATGATTTAATTGTTTAAGGCATAAGGTTAATCGGTTAGAAGCTTTAAAAATACGACAATCTTAATTTTCATAAAAGAAACTCTACATCGATTATGTGTTTTGATTAAGAATATTCTTAATTGATTAAGATGCTTTTGTCTTGTCTTAATCAATTATATTAAATTTCTAATAGATTAAGAAGTGTATAAATGTTTTTTAAATGATTAGAAATACTAGGTGAATCCCACTTGCACCTTGATGATTCTTGTATAGGTTTTGAGTTTTTTTAAGCAAAAAAGAGTGATTCAAAAACTATTTTTAATGTGTGTGCGCATGAGTGTCCGCGCGCGAGTGATTTTAGTAATTTAATAATTACTCTAATATCTTTACACTACTTTGATCATTTAAACATTTCACACTTTTTCTCATTTGCAATATTTGAAATTTCAAGACCATTTGCTTGATTCATTATTGATTCAAGACTTCAACCGCGAGTTGACTTATTTTGAATGATAAGGTTTGATAAATTTTCTAATGGGGGAGGAGAAGAGCAAGTTGAACAAACTAATTTCCATTATGAAACGATCAAGTGTTAAAGAGGAAACACTCACTGAATTAAAATACATTAGTATGTACACACTCAAACATGCAAAAAATGTAATCAATAAATAAGAATGAAAGAATAACAAAAACACTATCCTAAACAATGCAAAAGTTGTGACACACATGATGCAATTTATTCACTTGTAGGAATGGCTCCTTCATCACTAGACATGCCTGATGATACCATCTGTGGTCTAATCTCTTCTAGCTGTTGAAGTATCATCTGAACTTCGGGCCGTGCTGATGGAGAAGGATCAACACAATGCAAAGCAAGCTTCAAAGTGTTCAACAACTCATCACCATTTGTCGACGAATCTCTCATCAAATCAACATCAAAAACCTCATTTGTCCACTCCTCTTTAACAATAGATGCAACCCATTGAGGTAAATCAACACCATTCATTGCCTCACCAGGTGGCTTCCTTGTTAGTAGTTCTAACAAGATTACACCAAGACTGTATACATCGGTTTTCGTGTTCGCTTTCTTTAGCTTCGATAGCTCGGGAGCTCGGTATCCTAACGCACCCGCCGTAGCAATCACGTTAGAGTTAGCAGCTGTTGTCATCAACCTTGATAGACCAAAGTCTGCTATTTTGACATTTGTGTTCTCATCAAGTAACACATTGCTTGATGTTAGGTTCCCATGTATGGTGTTTTCGTGTGAATGTAGGTATAACATGCCACGAGCCATGCCTTGTGCTATGTTCATCCTTGTTGCCCAATCAATTCTTGTTTCAGGTCCATGAGCTGCAAAAAAAACATGATTAGAGAAAACAAAAAACCATGATTATGTTATGGCAAACTTTTACATTAGACATACCATGTAGGAATGATGCAAGACTTCCTTTAGGCATGTAATCAAAAACCAGAAGCTTTTCTCCTTTAGGTCCTAAGTAATAAGCTCTCATTGCCAAAAGATTTTGGTGTCGAATTCTTCCTAAAACACTAACTTCAGATTCAAATTCTCTCTGATTCTTAGTGATTTTTTCCCTCAATCTTTTCACTGCAGCTTGACTACCATCTTCCAATGTTGCCTTATACACTGTTCCATAGGTGCTTTTTCCCATTATCTCAGCAGTTGCACACAAGAGATCGTCGGCCGTAAAAGCGAGCGGTCCATCAAAATGTACTAGTTTGCCTCCAGCATCACCACCCGCTTCAACTTCTCCGCCAGTAGGAGGGACTCCTTTTCCTGTTCTGGCAGAAGCCGCCGCTGATCTCGCAGTAACGTGCCCCTCTACGTCATTCGATGCTTTTCTTCTCCGGAACAGGCAGAAGATCAGGATACAACACACTATTATCAGGACTACAAGTAGCACTCCTGCTACAATTAGGATTATGTCTTTGGTACCGAGTTTCTTTTGACGACGGTGTTTCGATACTTCAGAAGGTCCTTCTGAAGGAGCAGGAGAGGAACATGGAGTTGAAGGACTATAACCACATAGTTGAACATTTCCCACAAATGAACTTGAGTTAAATTTCTGTGCTAGTAAAGTTGGAACAGGACCAGAGAGATTATTATAAGAAACATTGAAGAAATTAAGAATAAGTAGATTATCAAATGAGACAGGAATTTCTCCACTAAGATTATTCACTGACAAATCAAGCTGTTTAAGATTTGAAATCTTTCCAATACTTTGAGGAATGTGACCACTAAAATGGTTATGACCAAGAGAAATCTCTCTAAGCTCCCTTAAATCACCTAAAGAACCAGGAATGGTTCCAGTAAAGAAATTATGATCCAAGACAAGATTTCGAAGGCTAAATAATCCATTTTTCAAACTAGGAATAGAACCCGAGAGATTATTGTGTTGAAGAGACATAAAAGTGAGAGAATTCAAACTAGTTAAGCTAGTTGGTATAGAACCAGACAAAGAATTGAAGCTCAAGTTAAGCCAATAAAGTTTAGTAGAATTTCCAAAACTGTCAGGTATTGTTCCTGTGAGCAAATTGTTACTGAAGTCTAGAGATTGAAGCAAAGGACAAGAACCTAACGAAGAAGGGATTGAACCTGTTAACCTGTTGTTAAAAAGCTGAACTCCTCTTAGATTAACGAGAAGTCCTAAAGATGAAGGGATTGAACCAGTAATGCGGTTGTTATGAAGACTAAGCTTTCTGAGAGCTTGAAGTTGACCGATTCTCTCAGTGATTTGTCCTTTTAGTCCTTTCCATGGAAGCTGGATTACTATAACTTGTCCTTGGGCACACTTGATTCCAACCCAAGCTCCTGAGCATGCTCCAAAGCCACTGTCGTTCCATGTTTTCAAGAACCCTTTTGGATCAATTAGTTCCTGTTTGAAGGCTTGAAGTGCGAGGAAGTTTGACTGTGTTACGACGACTCCATCCCAATGTTCTTCGCATGAAACTGGGTTCGTTATGAAATGGACGCAGATGATGAAAATGAAAAATAGCTGGTAATAATTGTTTTTTTCTGGTGCGTTTGTCATCTGAAAAGGGTTGTTGTGAGAAGAGATTTGATGATTTACTTGGTGAGTGTTGTTGTTAGTGTCCATGGACCATGAAGACACTGTGTTTGAAATGTGAGAGAAGAGAGTGGAAAAAGAAAGATCATGGAAATGAAACAGTAGAACAAGAGTTACGGAAGATGGTTTTGTAATGGGGAAGAGATAGAGAGAGAAGCACGTGATGGATGGTCATAAGAAAGAGTGAGTGGGGCGCGGGGTATTGAGGAATCTTGTGTTGGGAAGAGAGAGAGAGCAGAAACTGTGAAGACAATGTCAGGTGCAAAGAAAGACTGTTCTTAAAATCACAAACGGCTAGTTTTGTTAAAATTATTACTAATATTTCTTGAATGGTAAAAATCAGTTATTGTTAGTTGGTTAGGTACTGATTGATGTTGAATTTGATAAAAAAGACTATTAATTTATTTTCAATTTAAAATTATTTGATGTAAGAACTGATTTCAAATATTATAGTAAAAAAAATTAAATTATTTTCTATGGTTAAGAACTCCATTAATATTTCATTGGCTTTTTGTGTTGTTACATTTATGATTAGTATTATTATTGTTATTATTTTGGTTATTAGGGCTATTATTATTGGTTTTCTTG